TTTTTAAAGATGTTATTAAATTATCTTCACATTAATAAACTTAAGTAGTACTTAAACATTTTAAGCTAAGACATATTCAGATTAGAAAGATCAAATTATGTTTAAATGTAATGTATATCCATGGAGAATATTACATAAAAATATTTAATACACATTATAGTCAGAAGACTCCATCCAAAGTCAGAAAAGTAATATAAATAATGACAAATCTATTTTGAGGTTTACTTTTAGGGATAGAATCTGTCTCCTGAGATCTATTTTTTAATTTATTGAAAAAGAATCTCAAATCCAGGAAATATAACCATGATATTTGTTGAGGTTATAAATTGGTGGGGGTTGGGGGGAGGAAAACAGACTTTCATCTTCTTAAGTCATTTAATTTTTTATGCCTTTCAAGCACAAGCAGGCAACTGATATATTCCTAATCAGCCATGATATATTTATTGGTAGAATTACCTTACTGAAAGCATGTAATCTATAGACGAGCCCAACGTATGGTTTTAAAACTTTATTTTAAAGGAAACTCAGGAAAACTGAAGCCTAGTCACTTCTGGCTCTGAGAAAAAATAAATTTTTTGAGTAAAAATGATTTAATTATTTTAAATAAATAATGCTGTCTTATAATTTGTAATGAAAAAGACCCAGGAAACAGATAGTTATCTTAATCTTTACTCCCTATTTACATCCTAGAAAGTTTGGAGTTAGAAGGCCTATACTGTAGATACAATTCCCTAAAATTTTTTTTTGACAAAAGTGAATTTGTTTTGTTTCCCTAAAGGAATGCAACTCTAGCCTTAGTAGTAACAACTTACTCAGCTAGAAAGTGTTCAGTTTTCTGGTTTAATATGTAGAAGGCAGTATGGGATATAGATTGTGTCTATATACTTTCTCTGGGGAAACAAAATTAATTTGGATGATGGAATATTTAAGTAAAGAATATTTAAGTACTAAAATTAATGACATGTAAATAATTATAGTACTTTGGGATGCTCATATATTTAATCAAGGGGTATCTCCTTGGAGGTTGGGGAAGTTTTTAGAGATGTCTCAGCTGTCTATTTTATAGCCATGTCATGAACTTCCTTTCCCTAGACTTTCCAAAATACTCAGAAAGGTTTGTGTTCAAAGGAAAAAACAAAACCTAAGTGAAAAATTCCCTTCAACTCTGAAACAAGATATTAACAGTTAAAAAAAAAAAACAACTTGTATTTTGCAGTCATTTTCTCAGTTGAACTTCCTGTTGAGAGACTGTAACTGCCTAATGTGCCCAGCCAGGAAACAGAAGGTGACAGTAGCCCCGTTTGTGTTACGGAGGCTGCCTGACAATGCTGCCATCCTTGAACATGGTTTTATTTAGTTATTACAGCTATCTCTCTGTAAATGACATTTAGGATTATTTAAGATTATGTTGTAATCCTTTTAATCCTTAGTGCTTTAAATTTCAGGCTAAACACCAAAGAGCAAACTAGCACTTAGCAGGAATGTTTAAAACATGTGGTTTGAACATAAATCTTTTTATTCACTCTATCCCTGATGAAGACCTAGTGTTGCTCTTAACTACGAAGACTCGTACCCAGCTCATTATAGCTGAGTTGCTAAATGTTTCCCAAACTACATCAAACTTGTGATAGTCCTTGACAATGATCATAAATGCAGAGTTAAACAAAAGTTAGCAGCAATGGACATTTACTACTTTAACTGAGAATTTCTTTGATCTTTTATAAATGTGTAGTGTCTTTCTGTGTGTGTGTGTGTGTGTGTGTGTGTCTGTGTGTTGTGTGTGTAAGTGCTCACTCTATTTTCTAAGGTCAAACTATTAGGTTATGTATACATGGGTACATTATATATACATATGTATATAAGTCTATATATATTTTATACATATATACATATACATATTTTATATGAATTATAACATCTAATATATATTTTATTATAGAAGTTAATTCTTTTATTATTTATTGTTCTGAAGTACCAATTAGGCCAAAAAATGTGCTGTTATAAAATATTCAGATATTCTTAAACTTAGCAAGTGAGCATCATTCTGATTTACTCAAAGTTGTTGAATACCAAAACTTAATAATTAATGCTGTCATTGTTATGTTTCCACATACCAATTAAATAACATTGAATCCACATCAATAGTTTGATATGATTTCAACTAGGAAGGAAATTTGGCTTTTAATAGAAAGAGAAAACAACTCAAACATCCAAACAGCATATATGAACAAATGAAATAAATGAAATCTGTCCATTTTTGGTTGTCAAAAATGTGTGCTTCTGAGACTTGCAAGCATCTCTCAGGAACACACAATTTTTTGTTTGTTTTCCTATTCATTTTAAGTTCAACTTCTCTGCAGACATTGTAATTATGTGGCATATAATTGCTAATCCATCAAACTTTTAAAAGACAGATTTCAAATTTTAAAATTATTTCTAATTTTGCTCTTTGATTTTTCTTGAACCAAAAATCTCAATAGTCATTTGCTATCTGTAATCTATAATTCATAGACTGAGATTGAACACCAAGCCTAATTCAAACTTGGAATTCTAAAGCTATTTCCAATGTAGCACATCAACTGAAGTTATGATGGTCTTTTTCAGTCAGGAAGAAACACTTCATTATTCTGTAGGTAATGAAACCATTGCACACACTCACACATGCATACTCCAAGTACAACAATGCCTTAATACCATGTTTTTGAGACATAATCATGTTTATTCTGATCATTTGAGAGTTAGACCAGCTAATGTATCTAATCAAATATTGATGCAAGTCATCTAGATTTAGCTCTCTGGCAAATCCTTCCCGATGCTTTTTCGTTAACAGAACTATAAAAGCTATTTATATTGTTCCTCTCGAAAGGCTTACTCTCATAGTCTCTATCTATGGATACGTATTAGTAAATTTTACCAAAACTCATGCATTTAGGTGATGAAAAGATTTCAGCACCACAGGGAAACCAAGGGATTCACTCAAAACAAATGAAACAGAACATGAAACTTGAATCTTTTCTTTCACTTTGTTATTCACAGTATCCTTATAATTACCTCTTGTTTCTCTAAAAGTACAAGATTAAAAAAAAAAGTGTCTGTAAGAACACTGAGACCCCGTGAACTGCTTGATTACATTATCAACAAAACTAGCTGGCAAGATTTTTACCTCCAGAAAGCGACAAAAAACGAGAATAGTTTTTAATATCTTTGAAGGACCTACATTCAGAAATATAAAAGTCAACTAGAAAATTGCAATAGGAGGTGGTTAGTCATATCCTGAAAAGATCAGGATGATACTATCAATATAGGTGGCTGAAATGTAGATCTATGCATGTTCATAGTTATGCAAAAATATACATAATTTTTTCATCAATATTTTTAGCCCTGTATGCATCATATATAGTTGAATGTCATCCTTATTTGTGAACTCATTTAACTCTTCATAAGGTTATCAGAAGAAACTGAAAAAGGCTGGCTTAGCCCATCTCTAAAGGGTTGATATAGTCCAAGAATAATGTTTGTGACAAATTTTGGCGTCTTTTACAGCTTTGGAGATTAGGATGCTAAATTTGCAGTACATAATGAGGCTTTACCACTGAGCTTATGTGGTCATCTAGGTTGTCAAAAAGCTAGGATTTTAACCTCTAAATTTCGTTATTTATGGCAGAATACTATGAGTAAGAAATTGGGGAAAAGCGGAAGTCACTGATCTATAGTTCCTCCCTTTAAAATAAAGTTTATTTCCTCTTCTTGATTCTATAAAGCCATATTTAGGTCACTTTCAGCTTTAGAGCATTGATTTCAGGCCAAGCGTGTTTAGTGTTCTTCTGTCGTTTCTCTCTCCCTTTTATTTCCTTCTTTTCTGCATCTTATTTTTAATTGATGAATAATAATTATATATATTCTCTCACATTCTTTTTTGATAAAAAAAATCTCTATACCTAAATAGAATAAAACTAGAAAAGTAATTTATTCCAGAATGTGTTAAAATATTTGTTTTATTTTGGTAATCCAAATGGATCCAAATTATTTGGATATATCTCAATAACATCTGGAAAATACAAACCAAACTAGAAACCAGCTCTTTCCCCTCAGGGAGAGTGTAGGTTGGAAGTGTCACCTACCTATGCTTCTATAGGACCCAATATTAATTTCAACAAAGCACTTAAGAACAAAAGAATTGACTTGTATTCAAGGGCCAACATGCTCTTAAAAGACATTTAAAAAGTAATTATAATAAATTATAAAAACAATAAATAATTTTCTACTAAATTATGTAAATTCTAAAATATACCTATAAAATTATTAGTTATTTTAGAAATATAAAATTAAATAAAATTTCATATAAAATAGAACAAAAATAAAACTCCATAATTTAAAATTATTAATTGCCAATGATTTTGGAAACATCATGTGTGAAATTACATTTTCCAATTTTATCCCTTTCAAGCATTTCATCTGGTTCTTTCCATTCAATAGAATATGATTATAAGTATTAATCAAGTTTTCTTCAAAAAACTAAGTTATGCAATATGAAAGAATCTATTTTTTATAGTTGTTCAGCCCTCTCCATTCCTGTAAGTTACACTTGTAAATGTAATTAATGGCTGGAAGGCAAGAGTGTCATGGATGTAAATAGCTTATACTTGGTGTATCTTAGTTTGTGTGCATCTGAATATTCTAGATCAAATCTATTTAAGTCAAGCATTCTACATTTGAACCCCAGACATCTATCACATACACTGCAAACTTCAATAACATTTGCGTGTTTACATTAATCAACATGCAACATATATTTTGTGTTTAGATAGCAACCAGTCTCCAGGAAAAAAAGCAACAAAACAAAGATTCAACTGGGAAGAGGAGTCGCCTTTCATAATGACCTTCAGACAACTAGCTCATGTATATGAGCACATCACAAGAAGGCAGTCTTATTTTAGTTATCCAAGAGAGCTCAGATTTAGAGAGAATAGGAATAAATTGAATATATGTAACATTCTTACCTGAAAGACGTTCTTTCTACTCGATTTTTCCTTGGCCCATTCAATGTGTGCACCACACAAATCCACACTTTCTGGTTTGTGCCCAGTTTTCTGTAAACACAAAAAAGAAAGAATAAAAGGATGCAACGCTGGAAATGGATGCCAGAGAAATAGGAGTTTATTGAGTTAGTAGCTATGCATATTTATGATATAATGCCTTTTTTGTGTTCTCCAAGGGAAACCTAATTTGTAGGAATTTTCATTTAGGATCTAATATTTTTAAATGTCTAAAATTAGAGACCTGTTTTTAAAATTATTAACTGTAGACGATAGGAAAAATATCTAGAATATTAATATTTTGAGATGATATTCTTTAGTAATTCTAATAAAATTTTAAAATATGCTATTCAGTAATATGAAATATTGCTATTCAATGGTTAAAGTAACATAAAAGCATGTTAAGTTATATTACTTTTAGAACAGTAAAAGAAAAAAATCACAAATTGTAGTACAATACAAAAAACTGTTAGAGTTTTAGATTTGTGACTTTAGTAAAGTTGCTTAGAAACTGGCTACATCATCTGGAAAATTGAGCAGGTGGATTAATTAATCTCAAAGTCCCCTTGCAGGTTTCTGTTTCATATGTTAGCAAATTCGAGACAGATTTATTAAGTGTCAACTATGCCTTTTAGAAATTCACTTTTCAGACTTTAAGACTATACCCATAAATATAATTTTATTTAGTAAATTTAACTTAGACCAAATAGATTACAATGCATGCTTCCTATTACACAATTACAATGTACTACTTAAAAGTTTTTTTATTTCAATAATTCACAATAATCACCCACATTTGTCTTTTCACTTGATTCAAGTTAATCATGCATTACATTTGCATCCCTCCAATTATTTTTTAAAAAGTTTGCCATTTTGGAGAATTTCTTTACTACTTTTTCGAGCAGTTTCTCCATAGATAAATTCTCTGTTTCTCTGTAGATACATTCCATACTTTTCTCAAGTCATTGTCCATAAAATACTTTATAATATTTTTAGATGATGTTCTTAACATTATGAACATTAGGATAAAACAGGAAATCACAAAACAATGGTAAATATATTTTTAAAACTTAATCTGCCCACATTTGTTGTCTCTTAGCCATTATATCCAATTCTATTAGTTTAACAGAAATAGACTACTTTTCAGAAGGCAGAAATTTGTTTTATTATGGTAAATAATGCAATTTTTTTGGAAACTCAATAATTTGTTTGAAACATTGTATAACTTTCCTGCAGGATAAACTCAGCTGGCAGGATAGAATTTGATAACATATTTACCTTTTCTGTTGTTATTTAGGTGTAACCTCATGAGAAACCCATTAAGATGAGCCATGCCCCTTAAAGAGATTTTGATCAGTGAAAAGTTTTTATTGGTTCACCCACACTCTGCCACTCAGGTGATCACTATTATGAAAGATTTCAAAGCGTAATAGTGATATTCTTTGTCAAGTGATTTGTGATGTAGAAAAATTAACAACATGCTTCTTCTTACAGATTTAATTAAATTAAGGGATACTCAGAGCCAAGAAAAATAATCATTAAGAGTATGTAACAAAATGGCTTCTTTTTCCCATATAATCCAGTGTGTGGCGGGGTGGGGAACGTATAATTATCTTATTTAAGAAGTACTATTTATGTTCCAGGAATTTACCTAAGTACTTTAAAATTATTATTAATAATTCATTTATTGTATGACTTCTGTATTATAGGGAGTTTGTGGGTGATTATACAGAAGTCTAAGGCTAATATGAGGAAGAGTCAGTATCTTCCTTTCCTGTGGAGTTCTAGGGCCCAGCACAGTGGCTAACACACTGACACAAAGTAAGTGTGCAATCAATGGTAACCAAATAATTTTGTGAAATCTCACATTCACAACAGTATGAGGTAGGCATCATTAAGTTACAGGTAAGAAAACCTGCCAGAATGGTTAGGTAGATTTTGTCAAGGTTACCTAGCTAGAAAAGGAGGGGCCAGGATTTAAATGCAAGCAGCATCACTCCAGAGACTGTTCTTAACCATTATGCAGCCCTTGAAAACTGCATATGCACTGTGATCATATGCTAAAACATGTAAGAATTTGGGAAAAGCTAGGGCTTTCTCACTAGACTCCAGAATAGACATATTCATCTTGTTTTTGTCCTTCTCTGTTAAACCTGATCTTGCCTTAGGTCCTTCACACCACCTGTTTACCTGGAATACCTCCCAATCTTCACACGTCTGGCTCCTTCTTATCCTTCAGTTCCCAGTTATAAATGTCACCTTGTCAGAGGTCTTCTTTGACTGTCTTATATAAAAGAGCTATACTCCAGTACTCCTGGTTACTCTCCATCCCACTACTTGTTTTAATTTCACTGCAGCCCTCCTCCTAACTGAAATTAACATATATATTTTTATATGCTGACTGTCTGTGTTTCCCCCACTAGAATTAAGCTCCCTGAGCTAGGGCCTTGTTTGCCTTTTCCTCTACTGTTTTTCCCAATGTATGGAACAGTGCCTGGCACATAGTTGTTGTTCAATGAATATTTGCTGAATTCATGAATGAAGGAAAAATACCAAAATGCAACTAGCTTTTGTGCTTTGGAAGGAAGATTTTTGTGTCTTAAAATTCCCAATTTAAAGCAATTAAGATTTGTATTTTTTTTAATGGTTAAGCCGTCTTTGGTTTGTAATTTGGAAAATGACAAACAGTTTAATGATTCACAGAATCATTCAGTTAACATTTATTGCACACCTACTATGTGTCAATGTGTTACACACTGTGCTCAGCTCTGAAACTCCAGGTTTAAGGGAGATACTGACTCTTCCTCGAAGAATATCATATTAGCCTTAAATTTCTGTGTGATCACCTACAAACTCCATATGCTATAGGAAACCTGTGGGTAAATGCAGACTAAGCTTTTACAGTTTTTTCATCAGTCTAAGCTTTTACAGTTTTCTAGCTTTGTCAATTTCAAAATGTTCTTATCAGCATCTGTAGTGCTGAATCCTTTTTAACCTCAAATAGGGTTGAGGTTCAAGAGACCAAAAAAGAGACTCAGAGCTAACAAAAAAGATATGGGGTTTTACTAGGGGTTTACATACCCGGGAAAGAGGCCAGTGGTGCCAGGCTGGACAGGAGAACCACTTCATGTACAAGAATGGTCCAGGAGCAGTGGGCTAGACAATATAACTACACGGCCCAGTGGTGGAGGACTGGGCAAGAAAACCACAACCTCTTGCTAACAGCATGCAGTTTATGTAGCATTTTCACTTAACAACCCCCCTCCTTAAGGACCCCCACCTGGCAACCTTCATCCAACCCAAAACTCATTCTCCTGTGTGGTCTGTGTTCCATGAGACTGGACGAGGGCTCAGATGTTTCTCATGGACTCCAGGTTAGCTGCTCCTGGATTCCCTAGCTTGAAACACACACTCAGGTGTTCCTGCCATACAGGGTAATTCCAAAGGGATTATTAAGCTATTGCTATCAGGTGTGTTTACCCTATAGCATCCTAAGGCAAATCCCACAGCACCTAGCGTGGGTTTATCACACTCCAACCCCTGTCTGTGGCTATCTTCTCCGTGACCTGGCCCTGTCTCTCCCACTCCTCAGAATCTCACTCCTTCACCTCGTCTCCACTTCAGTGATTTTCATTCTGCTGCTCATCTAACAGATTCCACTTCTGCAGTTTTTCTTACCCCCACCCTGTTATGTGTGTTTCTGATGCTATTAAAATCATCGACCTTTGTGCAATCTCCCAGTCTCTGAATTCCTTCCTGGTTTCATTTCTTTCAAGGCCAGGCCTACATTTCTGATTCCACAGTCACTTCAACCACACACTCCACCTGCCCACTCATCCAAGGATATCACTCTCATCTGCTTGCCCCTCCAAAACCTTCCCATATCCCCGAATACTGGAGAAATAACTTTTGACTACTTAGAGTAGCAATACTACAAATAATAGCTACCTTCTTCAGCTGGGCATTTGACTCTGCTTACCAAACTTTTTATGTGTTCCCAGTCACTTTCTCTTCCTTCTCCTGACACTGCTCTCTTACACGCTTCAATCCTTATAAGTCTGCCCCATGAAATGGTTTGTTCCTACTTCATGGAGATCACAACCCTTGTGCTACAATAGTCACAACTCTTCCCACTTTCATACTTAGTCTGCGTAATCCAAATAAGGGAATATAAAGTTTAATGATAGCTACCTCTATTGCATTCTGTAAGCTTCATATTGATTTCTCACTTACTTCTTACAACAATTTTGTGAAAATATTACCATAGCTTTCAACTTACACACGAAGAAACCCAAACAAGAGCGGCCAAGTGCCTGACATAAGGTCATGTACTTAGAAAGTGCCTGAGCTGAGATATGAACTTCCTTTTATTGGATTCCAAGTCCCAAGTTATTGATCACAATGGAATCCAGGGCCCGCCTTCCACACTCATCTTTTCCTCCTACTAGTTCACATAAAAATTAATGCCTTTTTTGGGTCTAAGAATAAGAATTTACATTTTCTAATTTTTTTCCTTGTGTCATGATTTTCCACTTTGTCTCCCAGCCCCAGAATTCTGGGGCTGTGACTGGCCCATCTGTTTAATAAACTCCCATGCCTTGGCAGGACCATGGCTTCTATCAGTGTCAAAATTACGTGGCCTGTCAGTGCCATAAAGCACAGAAAGGACTCGCAATGCAGGTCCTGCTTTGCCTCAGAGGAAGAGATATTCCTTCTGCCCAAGGCTTATTTCTCTCTAGTTCCTAATTTCATCCAGTCTTGTCCCTGATTTCCTGAATTGTCCAGGAAGAAGAATTTCACATTTCCTTCTACTTTCTCCCTCTTAAATAGATTACATCCTTCAGCCTCTAACCATGTTCATCACTCCTGTTAAAAAAAAAAAAGAATAAAAGCAAGCATCAATTCCACATCCTCACTTTTTCTCATTCTCACTTGTTTCCTTTCCATTATTGCCAGATTTGTCCTTCTCGATTCATGTTCTCTGTTTGCTCAGACTCCCTTCTCTTCTTCAACACTGTAGTCTGATGTTTACTTCCTTCCCTGACTTTTCTAAA